AAGAGTGGTGTCACAGTGTCAACATCACTTAAGACTTACAACTCTTGTTTTCTGAGCAGTTTGCAGCCCATTGCTGTAGTAACATGTTGAATTAAGAAATATTTTAAAAACCAGTTGGACCTGTAAAGAGCATTATGACTTTTGGTTTGGGGACAAAGCTGATATTTCTAAAATGAGGGAAATGAAACAGGAAAAATGCTTCCATTGAACTTGAAATAGGTTTTGTTGTATTCAAATCACTTTGTCATTTTAAAAAAAAAAAAAAGTCTGCTTCTGAAGAACTGCTCAGGAAACAGGTGGAGTGAGAGAAAATTTTTAACATCTTGAATAAACAAGGTGATAGGAAACCAGATGCTACTGCAATCAGAAAGGAGGCATAAACCAGAGCTGCTGTTGAGAAGTAATGCAAACTAAATCTTCTCTCAAAAAGCAAAGATGTGCCGGTATTTCAAGTGACTTGTATGCTCAGTGACTATCTTGCTTTTTTTCATTTCGTCTTGGACTGTAAGCCTTGTTACTTGTGTGTGTTGTTGTTTTAAGCCCTTTCTCAAGGGACTTTCAACTTAAGCATGACATTCTTGTGCTGATGGGAAGGGAATGGAAGCAACTTTCTAAATGGGAGGGTCACACAGTGTCTTCTGTTTAGTATGTGCTGGAGTAACTTTTCAGAGTAGTGTTTTCTTTGGTACTTACGCACCCCCATTTACTGATTTTTAAAATTTAAACAATCTGTTACTCTAAAATAAACCCCATATTGAATATATTTTCAATATTAAAATGCTAATACTCACACTCCCTAAGATTTACTGGCAAAATGGCTTGAATAGCTTTCATGACTTGCTAGCAACCTTCATCTTGAAAGTAAACTGAAAACTGCTGCTGATGCTGAAAAAGTATGGGGGCTTATGTTTTGGTAACAAGAAAACTGTATGCAGAGAAACAGAAAACATGCAAGCTATGAAATTAATCTAATATGTATGATAAATTGATAAGTTTGTATGAAGATGCATTCACTGGAAGACCATCAAGAATAGTAAGTATTCTGTGACCCACCGGATTAGTATTAATTGTGGAAGTGAAAGTTGTTTTTCCATTGCCAGCTAGTTTGCTATGCCTCATGGACATTTAAAGAAAAGAAAACACCAGGCATGAAAGCATGCTGTATGCTTCACTTACATAGCCCACTTTGATGTGTTTCTCTTCCAGTAGCTGGCCAACCTTGAAAAATGACTGTCAGAATAGAAGCCATAGATATTCCTTCCTTCAAATCTGAATGAAATGTGTGATACAGCACTTCAGTGTAACTTTAATAATACTGGCCTAATTTTCTTAGTTCTGATTAGGTGAAATATACTTTACTCCTAACTGACATCTAAGTAGTAAATGAATGATGTTTAAAAATTGGTCTTTATCATGTGTTTTTGCTTAAGGAATACCAATTTCTGAATCTCATAAAGTGACTGGGTTTATTAACATGTGACTCTCTTATGCAGGATACTGGAAAGACGTGGATGTATTTTTCTCCACCCCTGAGTATTTTTCACGATTCACTAAACTTTTCCATGTGCCAAGATTAAAATAAACTATAATGTGACTGCTTTTTTCCTACTCTTTAATTATAAAATAGCAGAGACCATAAGATCAGACACAGCATATCTAGTTCCTTTTTCTAGTTTTATCCTTTTAATTGAAATTAAATGTGGGGTTGTTTGTTTATGTTTTTAGTTCATCTTTTTCTGACCACAATTTTATCAATATATGGAAGTTTTACCACCCCACCCCCTTGATAGTCTGCTGTGTATAGTTAGGAAAATATTAAACATCTGTCTGTATACTCTTGTGTCTTTATCTGCTGTATAAGGGTGGAAGTCAATCAGGGAAGCCATTAAAAATGGCACAGAATGCACTTCATGAGGAAGGCTCAGTATTTTAGACAATTTGGACTGAGAGCATAGCATAATCATAGAATCATAGAATAGTTAGGGTTGGAAAGGACCTTAAGATCATCCAGTTCCAACCCCCTGCCATGAGCAGGGACACCACACACTAAACTGTCGCCCAAGGCTCTGTCCAGCCTGGCCTTGAACACCACCAGGGTTGGAGCATTCACAGCTTCCTTGGGCAACCCATTCCAGTGCCTCACCACCCTCACTGTGATCCAAAGGAGTTTTCCTGTCATGCTTGTGTATGTCTTCAAAGCATAAATCTAGATACATTGGAAAAAGACAGTTAGGTTTTCTGCAGCAGTTCTCCAAACCAGGAGGAAAATGTGATTACATAGTAGTTTAGGCAGAAAAGACTCTGGGAATGTAAGTTGTCTTTCACTAGACAAGGAGTTGCAGGCATCACTGAGGCAGGAGGATGCAAGTCTTTAGCAGGTTTCATTACGTTTGGGAGCTGGTAAGTTAGAGTAATTTATCAGGTTTTGGGGAGGGAGGGAATGTGACATCAGCATGTCTAAGTCTGTACTTATAGGGTCGTTGTCCCCACCCCCCCACTCCCCCGCTTCTTTTTTTGAGAGGGTAAGAAAAAAACAGGACTTTTAACACTTTGATGTTTGTGTATGTCATAAGTAGTGAAATACTAAGTTAAAATTGTATGCGATATATGACTGTTTGTGCTTACCTGGAGTCTTTAATATTCAGCATGTTCTGATCTAGAAAACGGGCAGAAAATCAAAGTTATTAAATGCTGAATAGTAAATGCACAAATCTGTGATTTTTGAGAAGCTTTTATTTGCAACCTCTATGTTTATTCTAATCACTACATGGTAGTGATACCATAGTTCGTTTTCTTTTGGAACTCTTGCATTGATCTTCTGCCAGTGAATTAATAAAAATCTAGGTTTAACATTTCAAATTTAGTTAATCTATTCAGATATTGGTAATAGCTATAAATTAATGGAATTTTGTGCCGTTCTGGCCTGGGAGTGTAAAGGGACAGTTTTGATATGTAACCACTTCACTGTCTTGTTTAATTGACCTTGGATTGGACCAAGGTATCTGCATGTATAATAGTAAATGTTGTGTGTAGAACAGAAGTTGTGTATGGGCTGGACTGTCACATAGGGCTAATGGCATTGCTTTTGAAACCAAACTCTCTTTTTATTATAGCCTCTTTTCCCCTAGTATAGATAAATTCCTAAGGAGCAAAACAGAAATACAGATTTACTTTTCATGCAAAGCTATTATTTCAGTTTACAAAAAACATCTGCAGAAGGTGTGGCAGAGTGACATTATAAAATGTCATGCATCTTCAGTATTTAACTTGGTGGGGTTTGGGAGCTTTTTTTGTTCTGAAATTTAATTTTCATTTATGTGTCTATTCTGCTCTAATTAAGGGGAAGAAGCCATATGTTACTAATTTACTTTAAGGATATATTTTACTAACAGTGAAATTAAATAATAACATATATATTATTTTGATCTCTGGACATAGGTTATGATAAATGATGTTGCTCCATGTGTGGTTTTTCATGCACCCCTAGTAGCTGTTAGCTTTCTGCTCACTGAATACCTGAGCTCTGCAGCTTCCGAGGAAGAGTCCGTGCTGTTTCAGACAAAATAGGAAAGCAAATAATCACCACATACGTTATTAACTGTTATTAGCTCTTACTGTTACTAGATTGATTGATATGTGTATTCCCTTGTCCTACTTCTAGGTTCATATTCTTGTCAAAGATAGTTTAAAAAAAAAAAACCACAAAAAAACCAGCAAAAAACCCACCCAAAGCAAAACAGCCCCTACTGCTAAGTTCTTGTTATCATTGTCAGCACCCTGACTACTTTAATTTAGAGATACCATCATCTTTGATTACTTGTCTTCTAAGTTCCAGTCTGGCTCACTTGTCAAGATCAGAGAACTGGAGAAAATGCTAAAGCATGACTGGCACTATACAGTTGTCTGCAACAGGCTGCAATTGCTTTTCAGTTTTGACTCCTAACTCCCATTACTCCCTTTCCTTTACCTTACTCTCCCCTTTCTTTGGAATATATGCGAGACTATTTGAGCAGACAGTTGAAGCATCAGATGCTCTGTCAGTAATATTTGCCCTCTACTTGGCCGTAGAGGTCACCATACTTGAGCAAGAAATTCCCCTTGTGTGCAGGTAAAGTAAAAATCTTCAGTATTCTGATCTCCTAAAAATGCTTAAAAACCAAATGTTGGGGCTCAGAGTCATGGTTTGAGTAATGAATGTTGCAAGCAGACGTTATTCCTACGTTTACTGTTTTTGGCACTAATACTGTCCATATTTGAAGTTTCGTTTGAAACTGCAATGTCTCTTTCTTGTCTTGTTCCTTTGTACTAGGATTATTCCAGTGATGATACTAAACTAGAATACAACGTAGATGCAGCCAGTGGTATTGTTATGGAAGGCTATCTATTTAAGCGAGCCAGCAATGCCTTCAAGACTTGGAACAGGTAATTATTCAGAACCTCTATTTACTAGTTTGTTAAGATATTGCTTGTTAACGCACAATTCTGGTCTGACTTGCAACCTGTGTAACTCACCGATTTCACTGTTTTGACAGAACACTTGGATGACTGTTAATTAATGTAGAGATGATACTTCAAAGATGTTCTTGTTCTCTGTCCTAGTTGTTTGCAAGCATTTTTCTAAGAGTGTTATCTTAATCTGGAGAAGTCCTATGTATGGAAAGCTCGTTTTCTTGTGTACAGTATGGCTCTGTAATTGCATTTTGGCCTCACTTTGAGATTGAAACAGAACAATCCTTATGATTGTATGCAGTAAGCTATGCAAATATATATGCGAGGAAAATAAGCATTAGAGGACAAAGTAAAATGGAAGTTGTATAGTCATTGGAAGCAGGGAAACTTGGTGAAAGACTCAAGTTATTTTTCCTGAAAGATAAGCGCCTAACTGTTATTCTTTACAATTCCTGTCATCTGCAGTGACTTCTGCTTAGTAGTTTTGAATGTCCATTTGGGAATTCAAAATATATTTTAGTCATGTCTCTTTAACGGTATATATTTTATGATTATTTAGGTGTTTTTCTCCCTGAACAGGATTTCTTTTGTACTTCCAAGGGTATACATTTTTTTTCAAGGAAACCTGTGTATGCAGGAGCATTTACAGTATAGTTGGATACAGTTCTTGAACCTTAAAGTTCATTTATTGTGATATAGAGCTCTTTTTCCCATCTTATTTTCTGTAATTTTTGCAGCAGTGCTTCTGTTAAACTACTTGCTGTGTTTCAAAGGACAGAATGTGCATTTGGGTCTGTGGTCCTTTCCACTCTTAATTAATGTATAATTCCTTGAGCATCTTGGAACACCAAAGGTCTATGACAAATTGGGATTACTTCACTTAAACCCATAGACTGATGCAAGAGCTACTGGTGTCAATAAGACTGTATCTGTATTACCAAGTTATGTGCAACTAGTATAAGGGATTTTGTTTTGGACTACTAGTCTGGTCTGATTATCCATCTGTAATGTACTTTCTGGGTTATTTCATCCAAGCAGAATTCAGAGTTCCCAAAAGCAGATCTGCCAGGCATCAAAGGATGGTGAAGGGAAAAAACTGGGAGATAATGCCTCCTATGTTCCTGGTGTGAATGGACACAAAATAAATGTGGAGAAGTCACAATTAAGATATGCAATGACATTTTTTCAGCTTAAGTTATGGATTTGAACATATATAAGAAAAACATATCCAAACAATATCTCAGAGCCAAGGTAAACAGCTCAGAAATGAGTCAGAGTTACCTACTTTTACTATATAATTTATATTTCCTTATGGTTTTTCTTCTGCTTGTCACAGGAGTATTCAATCAAGCTAAACCTTTATTTTTTTTTAAACTTAAAATCTTGATAATTTATCTTGCTGCAGTAGGCTAGTGGGATGCTTCAGAATTAGGCAGAGAATAGCTATCTATAAACACAGTTTAGAAATTGAGTCAATCATTTTTATTTTGTACTTCACATTCACAAACTGTTTCTAATTGTTATGAAATTAGTATTATCGTACGTAAAATACATGCTTAAGACCTTCTTATGAAGACAACTTATATTAATTTCTGAATTTAGCCCCTTTTTAATAAAAATAGAGATGTATTTTTATCTTATTTTTATTTCTGAATACATTTGTAGTTGCTTGCTACATGGTAGGCACTGAAGTGGTCATTGCCACATTCCACTGCCTGTTTCCATTGATGGAATGCATTAGTTAGGTACTACTGCAGTTTTAGCTGCTGGGAGATACTACTGATTAAAGTTTACCATATATTAGAGGTGAGTGTTTTTTCAGTCACTAGGTAGGGTACAAGAAGGGACTGTGTCATTGCGTTAACTGGTTTGTGATTAAAAATTTACTATGACGTACCAAAGGAGGAAACATTTAGGGAATTACATATTTTATGTGAGAGCATTCAGAGCTGAAGTGAAAGGCCCCAGGACAGACAAGATATTTTCAGTGTTCTTATTGGATAGGTAGTTTGCTGCTTCATTTTATGCCCCATCTTTTTGGAAAGTGTATGGACAACCAACCAGCTGAAACAAAACCAGCTTAGAAAGATATACTGGAATTTCCTGATGTTCTGAACGAAGAGTGATGGCACTGATCTTCATTGCTAACTGCTTATTGCACTGTCAGTAGTAACATAGAATCACAGAATAGTTAGGGTTGGAAAGGACCTTAAGATCATCTAGTTCCAACCCCCCTGCCATGAGCAGGGACACCACACACTAAACTATGTCACCCAAGGCTCTGTCCAGCCTGGCTTTGTATGGGAAATGATAGCTTCTCATTTTCCTCTCTTGGTATCAGTTGGTATTTTGTTGGTTCTAGGCCTTTTCAAGTACTCTTTTAAGACTGAACTAAGGGCACCAAAATTCATTGTACATACCACTATTAATATATACTTGCCAGCATTAAAAATATAAGATAAAAGGAAATGTTACAATGGATTTTGTCTGGGTTTGACACACATCGGTATAGTTCTAGCTAACAAATTAAAGAATTGTGATGCCTCTGTGTGCATGTTTTGGTCAGTGAATCTATGGACACCGTAGTGGATTATTCTGGGAAAAGTCTGGTTCCTGGGGGAGAAATTAAAAACAAAGGCATGTAATGCAGCCCGTTGAAGGGGGCCAGATATGTTCTAATGAATGAAGACTTGGTTTGTTTCCAATCCAAGCTAATTTCTTGCTAGGATGATGTAGTTTATTCCTGGGTCAGCTGGCATCTTGGGTTTCATATACTTTCATATAGACTATAAAGTCTCAAGACTTTATAGTTATTTGGGCTATTGCATCAAATTTCCTGTTCTTGGAATTGTTTCCAGCTTGCGAAGCAAATAGTGTTTTGAGCAGGTTACAAAGTAAACCACAAGCTATTTGCAATTCATTGTTGCTGTGTCTTGAAAGAGCTGAAGATTTTGCAAATTCGTTTTGTTGTGGCTAAGTGGATAGCCTGTAATGTACATGAATATTTCATATAATACACTTTGGTGGAATCAAAATGATGTTTTTATACTGCAGAGTCTTACAGTAACAGGAATGGAGACCTGTGTTTTGGAAATATGTCTGTTTGTAAATGATATCTCTTATTGTACACCATTTTTCTTAAGGCATCAGGAGCTGAAATCAGGTGCATATATTATTGTGGAGCAGTAGGTGGAAAGCTGTTTTAGTTCCTAGAAATTAAAATGAAAACCAAATCTATATCATGAGAAAAAATAGACATAAATGTAGGGAGAAACATGTTTATCAAGCACTGGTATAATCTGCATAGTTTATAGGTTGGATGCATTAAATATTTTCCTTTTTAATTCTGCTGTATTTTCAGATCATGCTAATTCTTTGCTTATTTTGCTCATTTTGCATTTTTCATTCCTTCTCCTTTCCCTTATGTTTTAATCCTACCCCATTTTTTCACATGACAGGAAAAAGCCAGATCATATCAGGTACCAACCAGCTTCTTTTATACCTTCCCAATGTTTCTTTGGCACGCAAAAAGCTCTTCATTAACCCTGCATTTAATGTTGATTACTCGCAATGGATGTATAAATGGCTCAGTCTAAGAAAATAACAGAAGGATTCTGCCTGGGATGCCAGTATACCTGCTGCTCAACAACTTTAAAAGAATTAGAAAGATTGAGCTAGATTTAGCTAAAAAGGAATTAAAGTTTCTGCACTTAAACATGTGAGCATTATAAGATCAGTGTTTTGACTTTTTCCAGTTGAAGTTGGTGAGATTTTTCTTATCAATTGTATTGGAAAAAAAGATGTGACTTTTAAATGTTGTGCATTCTTAATCACTCTCATTTATTTGCATGCTGATAGCAACTAATGAAGAAAATGGTTTCCTTTTGAGAATCAATAAGCATGATTCATTTTTATTAATTGTAAAACTCAATTTAAATTTTGTTTCTTTTTGGTGTTACTCTCAGTTCTTAAAAATTGGAAATTTTTTTTTTTCAATGAATGTTGTATTGTTTGTGATTTGATTTCAATTTTGAGTTGTGTAGGTATAAATGTTGGAAAACATTCCGTTTCTAAACCCAAACAGCTATATTTAAGCACCACTGAGACAGTGCAACTTACTCAAAGATTCCCCAAGTATGTTTTCTCCTTTGCCATGCTCCTCTCCTGTTACTGACAGAATTACACATTTAAACTTTGACAATGGTCAGTACTTCGCACATGTTGCCTAAAGGTTTGTGAACATTAATTCTTAGAACAGGATGGAGGTTGTATACTCCAGAATAGCACCTTCTGTACATTTATTGTGCCTGAAAACTTCCTGACTGTTACTGCTCTAGACCCCCAGCAATCTGTTTCCTACAGTAATGAATAGAATTTACTGATGGTACATAGTTAATATGAAATACCTCAAAGTTTTTGGCCTGAATAAAACTGCTGTGGTGCTCATGTGGTGGAGGTAGTCTGCCACTTTTATTTTTTTAAGCATACTATAAAATGTATTAACTTTCTGTTCTCTTGACATCTAATTCAAAAGTGATCTTCAAGTTATACTACATTCTAAATTGTTGGTCTTGTTCAATATGTTTCCTTAAAAAAAAAAACAAAACACCACCAACTCTCCCCACCCTTTTTTGGTTGGACTAGATAGTTATCTTAAACAGATTCAATTTCTGTACTAGGAAAAAAGGGGCCTGGAATACTATGAGAATTTCTAGATTAGGGTTTAAAGCTGGCATAAATTTGTTTTACAATTTGTGTGCTCACTTACATCCAGTTGATCAGATTGGAGCTCTCTTACTTTAGTAACTCACTGAATATTTAGCTGTAGAATAAATGAAGCATTGCATTAATAAAGTTAATTACACCACCTAAGGCTATTGTTAAGGATTTGCTCTGTTGCATGTTATCTTGGGGCAAGGCTTTATTTTATTTTAATTTTTTTCCCTTTATCACTTAAGTGCTGCTTTCCATGCTTTTCTATTTGGTGTCACGTTTGAAAACAACACATAAGAAAGCTGGAGTTTATTTTCTAGTCTGTTTTTTTGTTAAGTTACCTATTTAAACATTAGCAATAACCCACTTTATGCTCATATTTAAGGCTTAGTTACTGCATCTGTAGGGTTTTTTTTGGATAGATGGTAAAGGTCATACCTTTTAAATAGCAGTGACCAAAACTACTGCTGTTAATAAATTGAAAGAGTAATTAACTCTTTCATTATTCTGTTTAATTATCTTAACCCAGAAAGGTGTCTGTTATGTTTGAAATCCAGTATTAAAAGAAGATCCTGTTGTTGCTTTTTATATTACTTTTAAAATTAAATATATCTGCACAACATTTGAAAAGATTCTTAAAAGGTAGAATCTCATCTGTCTGTGAAGTACTAACTTTTCTAACAAATACTAGAATTTCTGATTTGAATCTAACTTCATTTATCTTAATTTTTCTTAATCTTTGCTTCTTTTCATGAATGGCTTGCAGTGGTTGAAAAAATATATGGAGCCCTCTTGTTACTAACTGTAGTAAACTGTAGCTTCAAGTTCAACAGCCTGTGGAGAATAACAAGATATATTGCAATCAATATTTTGTATAGTGCTGCCATTCAAACTATTTGCAGCGTAGGAGGAAGTGAAAGGTGGTATAAGTGGAGTATTTGAGGTATTGAGGAATTATGCTGTGATAAACACAGGTTCACACTGAAAACCTGAACAAACCCAAGAAGTGTACCTTTCTCTGCAGGACTGAATTATGTTTTACATTCCCTTCATTTTTTGTCAGTTCAAAACCAGTGATGATTGGTTAGCTTTTATTTTGTTCATCCCCAGAAGAGCTAGACAGGTATGTTTGTTTGCCGCTTTTTTAATATTTAGCGGTCTGATAAAATGTCCTTGTCAGAGATCTGAGGCACTTGTAACTTTTTTCCAAACCATGAATGATATTTCCATTCTTTATGAACTGTATCCTATCCAGACAGTGAGTTTGACAAGGAATGATAGAGTTCAGAAAAGTTTTTAAGTTACATTATCTTTTGGATTTTATAGGATGCCTTCGTTAGATCTTTATTTGATATCTTCCTACGAAGATGAGGCTTAAGTTAGGATCCTACTTAAAAGGTTTTCCTTGGTTTTGCTTCGGTTTTGTATGCAGTGTTTTTATTTCAGCATCTAAAATTTTAAGAAATGCTAACTACAGACAGACATTTAGTGCCTCAGTAAGCTATTTATTAGTTATACTCAAAAATAGTTCAGGAGTGAGTAGTTCACATAGTTCAAGTATTTTTGTTATTCAAACTGTCTGAATTTGTCTTATCAAACAATTACTTTAAAATGTAGTTTGCTGCTGAAATACAGAAGTACATGTTCTTTGAAATGAAAATGTTTTGTGTGGTATCTTAACTAATGTCATAACATGAATGTATTTGTTTAGGACTCGAATTATCTGAACCTTGCTCTCTTTTCTGTTTTGTCTCTGCTTTACCTTTTTTCATTATTCTCTTGAAATACTTGCCAAAACTGACTGTGGCATTAATTTTGTGAGTTCTTTTAGGCAGTCTCTCTGCAGACTGTATGTTAGCACATTTTTGTCAAATAAGCACTGTAAAATTAGTTATGTATTCTCTGGATGTCTCTTCATTTGAATAGGCGCTGGTTCTCAATACAAAATAACCAACTTGTGTACCAGAAGAAATTTAAGGTAGGTATCGAAAGCTGGGATACTTTGGGGTGTGGGTGCTGGTTTTCCTGATTGATTGGGGAAGTAGAAGCAGCGCTAACACTGGCATCCTGTGTGGTCTTCAACAGTCTACTGCTCTTTCTAAATTAGTTTCCCCTTTGTAAGATTAGATTAATATCTGCACTTAAAGATTTTGAGATTCCTGTGTAGTGACTTGTAAGCACATAATTATTTTCTGCGGGGTCTGTTACCTTGTTGCAGAGAAGGTTTATGAAGAGCCCTAAAAGTTGTTGGTCCCAAAAGGCTTGTACTCACTTGCTGGCAGGGAAATGCTCTATCCTGTTCTTTGAGCAGTTGTGTTTAACTCTTTCAGGACTTACTCCCTCCAGTTACTTATTGGGTTCACATACCTAATTTAGCTGCTGGGGAGAGAGCGGAGGGGAAGAAATGGCATGAAAGCATTTGTCATGAAACAGTCAGGAGTACTATGTACATGTATTTAATACTGCAAATGTACGGTGGTTCAGCA